GAAGGGAAGGGGGTGCGCGGACGCCCCCGGGCAGAGGGAAGAGTCCCGCCGTGACCCGGCTGAAGCGGGACACCGCATCTACCCCGCGGGCCCACCCCGAGGCACAGCCGCTGCTCCCCGACACCGCAGGGCTCTTCACAGCCCTCCTTCGCTGAAAACGCAGGAATCCAGTTAAAAGGGGGGAATCCATTTTACACAGATCCGGTGAAGTGACTTGCCCCAGCACACGGCGCAAGTCAGTCACAGAGAGGGGCAGATCCTAATTGCTAGACTTCCTGGCCCCAAAATACTATTAAAAGTATTTTTAATACCTTTTTTATTTAATAAAGAGTTGGAACTTTTGCATGACACGGGCACCGCGCTCCTGTGGCCGCTATCTACTTGCCCTGTCCAACAGGAGCCAGACCGCGCATCGTGGCCCCGTGCTAAGGGAAGGTCTTGGGGAGTTTGTCCTTTCGATGATGCAGAAAAGCAACGCGACCACCCGGCCATCAGTACCGGAATAGTGAATGATACGTCATTCTCGACCAGTTCTACCGCTGCTTTTCTACAGGATTTTAAGCCATCACATTTTGACATTCTTAAAGGACCCTCTTTGGACAGCATTCGAGAAGGTACCCAACCAGCTCAGGAGACTCTACGTGTACGCGTGCACCTACACGTGTAACACCTAAAATGGCATGAGGTGTCTGTATGTCGGAGCTAGGCAGTGCTTGCTGAACCTTTCCGCCTGGCCAGGGAGAACGGCCCGTGGCTATCAGGGCTTGAGAGCTCCCCACGCCCGCTCTTACCCACCCACTAGCAGCACCGCCGCAGGAATCCTGCGTTAGCGCACAAACGTGCCGCCCAGCGAGCTCGGCGCCCCCCCCCCCCGCGCGGGGCGCCCCCCCCCCCCCTGCCGCTCTCGGGCTGGGCTCGGCGAGGCACCACCGAGGATGCGGCTGGAGGCACGAACGCCCGCCGGGCGCACGCGCGTTTTGCGCCGGCTGCTGCAGCCGCTGCAGCCCGGTTCCCCG